TGTCGGTAGACATTACATTTGTATCATTTATAGTATATAGCACGTAAATGCCTCCTCCAGTCAGATGCAAGTTTTCCTTATAGCTGCTCCTAGGTATTTCTAAATTGCAATTTTTTCTTTATGTTTCGTTTTACATAAATACATACTTATTACTTCGTTAACTAGATGTCTAAATTTTTTTGAATATCATTTTACATTTTCTAATGTTCGGGTCATTTACAACTAATCTGAATACAGCGAACTCCAATGATTCTAATTTTGCATATGATTTTTGGTTGCCATTTCCTATAAGTTCAGATGGATCTTATGTTTTATTTGTAAATTTTTAATTTCCTTTCTTTTGCGTTCTACATTGTCACTTATTGCATTAATATGATATTTCCAAGTGAGTTTTATGTTTAGTTACATTTCCAAATATTTTACTTGCTCCGCTTGAGAGACGATCATGTCATTTAGTTTGATGTTTGGTTTGTAAAATGATTTGCTTTTATCTTTTCTATTCGTCATTTTTCAATTGTAGAATCTGTGTTATTTTTATAGTTATCTCTTTTGCTACTTTTGGATTCGTGCGGCCAGGATGGCAATATCATCTGGAAATCTTAGTGCTTTGCTATTGTTAATACTATTGTTATTATTTGTTTAATTCTGTAAAATATTATATATATAGAGAGTTATATTATATATTTATTTATTTATTTGTTTGTTTGTTTATTTATTTAAAAACTGGTCCGGACTATGACTCAATTGCTAGAAGATAGAAGAAAATTCTACAGAAAAGTTTTACATGGTTTTAATGAGTTCTATCATCGTGTGATGCGACTTTTTGTAGAAATGCATTAGTGCAGTTACAAAATGCAATTACACTTGATTTTTAAATGCAACCTTCAAAAATAATTTTTTGTAACAATCGATTCTTCGTGTCGTTCTGAATAAAATAATATTGGAGTATAATAGTGAAAAACTCAATATTTTTCGGGATATTTACCTTTTTTTCAGTACTTAAAATAAATGTTTCCACAATTTCATTTTAAACATTTTCTTATGTTTTCGTACATTGTTCAGTTGTTCAGCACTCATATTTATACAATCCCTTTTAATTCATTCTTTCGTATCATCAATTGAAATAAAATGAATATGAGTAGCCTAAATAAGTAAGATCACTTTCTGTTTTTTTAAAAACACAAAGAAAAAATTAAAGAGGTTTAAGTCAGATGAATGTAATGACAAAGGCAGCAGATTGTGTTTCAAACTATTTGTTTCTATAAGTTGATGTCAAATAATTTTTTTGATGCATACTTTATGTGCCAGTGTACCATTTTGTTGATTGTTTTGCATTCTTAATCAAGGAAATGTATCAACTCGAATAATATGAATTCTAAGAAATACATTTGAACATGTATTATTGATGCTGAAAAAAAAGATAAGTATTTCGAAAAGTATTTAGTTTTTTACCAATATAGCCTAATACTTTTTTATTCAAAACAATATGAGAAATAGATTCGTGGAAAAAAAAAATCATCAAGTTGCATTTAAAGAACGAATGCAATTACACTTTGCAAAAATTTGCACTTCTGTAAAATGTCGCACCACAAGATGATAAAGTTTGTTAAACCATACATAACTTTCCTCTTTTTTTATTTTCAATAATTTTTTTTTATCTTCAATAGCAACTGAGTTATGACCCAATTATTGGATTACATCCTGTATGCACATTATTATAGATATATACTGGTATATTACTATTGGTTGGTAATCAGCTATCTAAAATATATGAGAAATTTCTACATTGATTTTCTTGATTTCAGAATTCAGTTTCTTTTATTTTTACTGTTAAAAATGTATCGCTTAAATACGATGTAAGTTCTGTAATTGTTTTGGAAATTTAATTTCGGCCGTTTGCTGCACCTTTTGAGCCATATTTTCTTAAATATTTTTTCTATATCCATGCAGTATTATTTACTAATGTGTTTAATATTTTATTCACTAGTTTATCTAATAATTGATTCAATAATAAAGTGCTTATTTATTTCTAAATTCAAATTAATAATTCGATATTAATTCTTCTATTATAGTTTTTTCTAGTCTGTTATGTACTATTTTTTCTTTATATTTAATATTGAAAAAAGTTGATCCAAAAGATACATTGATCCAAAAAAATGTTACTTCATGCAGATGTTTATCTGATTTAAGCGAAATAACAATTTGGACTTGTTTCCATGAGATAGAAAGATATTAAATCCTTAATACTGTCATATATATTTTTATTACGTAATATTTTTGGCACTATTTTTATGTTTTTCGCAAATTTGTTAGATTTTCTTAATTGCTTTTTGCCCAAGTATTATTTAATTTTCTAATTGTTTTTAATTGATTTTATCACTTTTTTATTTTATTTGTAATCTTTCACAGAGAATAATTAGTATTTTCGGGTGTCCAGGAATTTAAAAATTCATTATTATTATGATCTTTTGTTATTTATAATCTCTTTTGTTAACTTGTTCAGATGTTTTTTATTCTAAAGAATTCTATATTTTTTCTTTGATTTTGTTCAAGTTATCTAAAAAAATAATTTTGATTTGCCTATTTGTTGGTTGAATGTTTAATTATTTTGGTTATGTATGATTTCTGTTTTTTACTGCTTGATCAATGTTTTTCTATGATTTAAGCAGAATATTGAAATTCTCTTCGAACATTTCTTCGATTATT